TCCCTCTTTACTATAAAAGTGGGTGGACCTTCGTAATTGTTTTCATTACTTCAATAATTAAATAAATATAGTCAAGTCCCAAAAAATGTCCCACTATGAGTACTGTTGTGGCGGACCATGACGTCACACTGTCACCCTCCACCACACAGTCACTATGAGTACTGTTGTGGCGGACCATGACGCCACCCTCCACCACACAGTCACTATGAGTACTGTTGTGGCGAACCATGACGTCACACTGTCACCCTCCACCACACAGTCACTATGAGTACTGTTGTGGCGGACCATGACGTCACACTGCCACCCTCCACCACACAGTCACTATGAGTACTGTTGTGGCGGACCATGACGTCACACTGTCACCCCCCACCACACAGTCACTATGAGTACTGTTGTGGCGGACCATGACGTCACACTGCCACCCTCCACCACAGTCACTATGAGTACTGTTGTGGTGGACCATGACGTCACACTGCCACCCTCCACCACACAGTCACTATGAGTACTGTTGTGGCAGACCATGACGTCACACTGTCACCCTCCACCACAGTTGTCGGAAAATCCGACACCATTTAATAATCATACAGATAATAGCTGTATTGTATAAACAAGTTACCCATAGAAAACGTAACTTGTAGTGGAATTACCGTCTAAAGAAAACGGGATATCATCACCACATACTATTATATTCACCACCTATTATGGTGGGAATTATTCTTAAATACATTAGTCTTTGGACTTTACCATCATAAAAACATCTCATATAAATTAACTTAATTATCAATATTAAAGTAGAGTAAATTTGACCCTTCTATCACTTATTGACATCTGGACAATGTAGGCCAGGCGTCAGTGGGGAAGGAGGGGCAGCCATTGTTGTTGTCACCTCCGAGACGCGTGGAGCAAATTCGGCTCCTATTATATCTGGACAATGTCGGCCAGTAGCGTCAATAGTATGGAGTGTTAGACATTGCCATTGTTGATACTAGACCAGAGGCTCATGGGAGCAAATACGGCTCCTGTTAATTTTACTTGGACGTAGTGTTATGGAAACCAAAGGTGTACCATCTTCAACACGCTGTCAACAAATTCAAGTTAAGTGTTCTTTCCGAAACCCATGTATCTTTCATTTGTGGTCATTAATGTCATTATATAGGGTGACCCGGTTAGAGCACGTGGTAGCCTCAAACTAAAGGTAATTAAGCCAGGTCTTTAAGGTTCCATGTACAGTGTTTTCTCTGATATACCTTGTCATATATAGGTATCTGGCTTTACAGCTAGCGCCCTTTTGACAGGTCAAGACGAGGAAGCATATGCTTTGTGCATCAGTTACCAGGGTGATGGAAGCTACCTCAAAGAGGGAAAATGTGGTGTCTACATCCTAGTTATACCTGCTGTACAAATAAGATAAGGAACCTCTTCAATGTATGTAGTCTAATACTGTAGTTTGATTGGCTGCATATATATAAATTTAATTAATATAAACCACCCTAATGTGTAGAGGATCGATTTGTGAGATTGAGACTATTGCAGAAATACAGTCCACTTAACATCATACAAATTGCTATCGAAGTATATAAATTAACGTAAATATAAATTCTATATATATTCATATAAATTAAATAAATATAAATCTCACAGGTCGGTTCCCACAACAGTCACTATGAGTACTGTTGTGGCGGACCATGACGTCACACTGTCACCCTCCACCACAGTCACTATGAGTACTGTTGTGGTGGACCATGACGTCACACTGTCACCCTCCACCACAGTCACTATGAGTACTGTTGTGGTGGACCATGACGTCACACTGTCACCCTCCACCAGACAGTCACTATGAGTACTGTTGTGGTGGACCATGACGTCACACTGCCACCCTACACCACAGTCACTATGAGTACTGTTGTGGTGGACCATGACGTCACACTGTCACCCTCCACCACAGTCACTATGAGTACTGTTGTGGCGGACCATGACGTCACACTGTCACCCTCCACCACAGTCACTATGAGTACTGTTGTGGTGGACCATGACGTCACACTGGCACCCTCCACCACAGTCACTATGAGTACTGTTGTGGCGGACCATGACGTCACACTGTCACCCTCCACCACAGTCACTATGAGTACTGTTGTGGTGGACCATGACGTCACACTGGCACCCTCCACCACAGTCACTATGAGTACTGTTGTGGCGGACCATGACGTCACACTGTCACCCTCCACCACAGTCACTATGAGTACTGTTGCTGTAAGAGGCTGGGCGGCCATTTACAGAAGCATCAACAAGCACATTTTAACCTCATAAAAAATGAAACTCGTAAACTATGACGACTTTCTTAAGTCGCGTGCAGGCCAGCGAGAGGCTTCGTTAGCGCCTTATACAGGACCTGGCCACACACAGGACCTGGGCCACACCTTACACAGGACCTGGCCACACACAGGACCTGGCCACACCTTACACAAGACCTGGCCACACACAGGACCTGGCCACACACAGGACCTGGGCCACACCTTACACAGGACCTGGCCACACACAGGACCTGGCCACACCTTACACAAGACCTGGCCACACACAGGACCTGGCCACACCTTACACAAGACCTGGCCACACACAGGACCTGGCCACACACACAGGACCTGGCCCCACACAGGACCTGGCCACACCTTACACAAGACCTGACCACACACAGGACCTGGCCACACACAGGACCTGGCCACACACAGGACCTGGCCCCACACAGGACCTGGCTACACCTTACACAAGACCTGGCCACACACAGGACCTGGCCACACCTTACACAAGACCTGGCCACACACAGGACCTGGCCACACCTTACGCAGGACTTGGGCCACATCTTACACAGGACCTGACCACACCTTACACAGGACCTGGCCCCACACAGGACCTGGCCACACCTTACACAGGACCTGGCCCCACACAGGACCTGGCCACACCTTACACAGGACCTGGGCCACACCTTACACAGGACTTGGGCCACATCTTACACAGGACCTGGCCACACACAGGACCTGGCCACACACAGGACCTGGGCAACATCTTACACCGGACCTGGCCACACACAGTACCTGGCCACACACATGACCTGGCCACACATTACACAGGACCTGGCCACATCTTACACAGGACCTGGGCCACGCCTTACACAGGACCTCGGCCACGCCTTACACAGGACCTGGGCCACACCTTACACAGGACCTGGGCCACACCTTACACAGGACCTGGGCCACGCCTTACACAGGACCTGGGCCACACCGTACACAGGACCTGGGCCACGCCTTACACAGGACCTGGTGGCCAATATACACTTAGGGGGGGGGGTAACTTCCTGCTCGGAGGCAGCTGCCAAGCGACGCATTAAACCCGAAAACATATTTAATATTCAACAACAGTTTGTGTCAAACAACTTGAGTTTGATGCCCAAGTTGTTTGGGTAGAGCGACGGCATTGCTTCTTGCAAGGTCGGCGTTCAATCCCCGATAGTCCAAGAGGTTGTGTAGCGTTCCTACGCTCTTTCCTCATACCTAGCTGCTTGTCCCCATATCTTAGTTCCTTGTCCCCATATCCCAGATCCTTGTCTCCATATCCCAGCTCCTTGTCCCCATATCCCAGCTCCTTGTCCCCATATCCCAGATCCTTGTCCCCATATCCCAGCTTCTTGTCCCCATATCCCAGCTCCTTGTCCCCATATCCCAGATCCTTGTCCCCATATCCCAGCTCCTTGTCTCCATATCCCAGCTTCTTGTCCCCATATCCCAGCTCCTTGTCCCCATATCCCAGCTCCTTGTCCCCATATCCCAGCTCCTTATCCCATATCCCAGCTCCTTGTCATCATATCCCAGCTCCTTGTCCTCATATCCCAGGTCTTTGTCCTCATATCCCAGCTCCTTATCCACATATCCCAGCTCCTTATCCACATATCCCAGCTCCTTATCCACATATCCTAGCTCCTTATCCACATATCCTAGCTCCTTATCCACATATCCTAGCTCCTTATCCACATATCCTAGCTCCTTATCCACATATCCCAGCTCCTTATCCACATATCCCAGCTCCTTGTCATCATATCCCAGATCCTTGTCCCCATATCCCAGCTCCTTGTCATCATATCCCAGATCCTTGTCCTCATATCCCAGCTCCTTGTCATCATATCCCAGCTCCTTGTCCCCATATCCCAGCTTCTTATCCCCATATCCCAGCTCCTTGTCATCATATCCCAGCTCCTTGTCCCCATATCCCAGCTCCTTGTCCCCATATCCCAGCTCCTTATCCCCATATCCCAGCTCCTTGTCATCATATCCCAGCTACTTGTCCCCATATCCCAGCTCCTTGTCCCCATATCCCAGCTCCTTATCCCCATATCCCAGCTCCTTATCCCCATATCCCAGCTCCTTGTCATCATATCCCAGATCCTTGTCCCCATATCCCAGCTCCTTGTCATCATATCCCAGATCCTTGTCCCCATATCCCAGCTCCTTGTCATCATATCCCAGCTCCTTGTCCCCATATCCCAGCTCTTTATCCCCATATCCCAGCTGCTTGTCCCCATAGCCGTTCCAAATGCTTGAGTAAAACCGGCATTAAGCTATCTCTTACTAAATACCTTTACTTTACCTCGGTAACAATCAAGAGTGCACCTTAAAGATGAGGAAGGCTTTTGTCCCATTCACTATCAATGTCCCATAATGACCTTCAAGCTTAAGATGAAGTTAAAAAAGTATTAAAACTAATAGGGCTTGACTGGAGCGTCGACTAATTGGGCAATTTTGCACCTATTTCGAATTATAAATTATGTTCTTTGAATACAGACTAAAATAGGAAAATTACAACCCATTGACAACCAAAGATTAAATAATTTGTCTGGCGCCAATGACTTCGGTAATAACAAGGTCATTGGCGCCACACTAATGCCGTCATTTGCGTCGTAATATCGAGGTCACTGGCGCCGTAATGATGAAGTATCTCTGGCAGTTCAGTGTATGGGGGCTACAAGTATCTCTGGCAGTTCAGTGTATGGGGGCTACAAGTATCTCTGGCAGTTCAGTGTATGGGGCTACAAGTATCTCTGGCAGTTCAGTGTATGGGGCTACAAGTATCTCTGGCAGTTCAGTGTATGGGGCTACAAGTATCTCTGGCAGTTCAGTGTATGGGGCTACAAGTATCTCTGGCAGTTCAGTGTATGGGGCTACAAGTATCTCTGGCAGTTCAGTGTATGGAGGCTACAAGTATCTCTGGCAGTTCAGTGTATGGGGCTACAAGTATCTCTGGCAGTTCAGTGTATGGGGCTACAAGTATCTCTGGCAGTTCAGTATATGGGGCTACAAGTATCTCTGGCAGTTCAGTGTATGGGGGCTACAAGTATCTCTGGCAGTTCAGTGTATGGGGCTACAAGTATCTCTGGCAGTTCAGTGTATGGGGGCTACAAGTATCTCTGGCAGTTCAGTGTATGGGGCTACAAGTATCTCTGGCAGTTCAGTGTATGGGGCTACAAGTATCTCTGGCAGTTCAGTGTATGGGGGCTACAAGTATCTCTGGCAGTTCAGTGTATGGGGGCTACAAGTATCTCTGGCAGTTCAGTATATGGGGCTACAAGTATCTCTGGCAGTTCAGTGTATGGGGGCTACAAGTATCTCTGGCAGTTCAGTGTATGGGGCTACAAGTATCTCTGGCAGTTCAGTGTATGGGGCTACAAGTATCTCTGGTCCTAAACGTTGCATGAAATAGCAAATATTTTTAGTGGTGAAAGTTGCTGTTAAAATTATCATAAATGGCAACACTTCTTTTACTTTGTAATGTCCAATATTCACAGTTTTATTGTTATTAAATGCGTGGCCCGAATGTGTAATAATACCTGTATTAGACATGCATAGAGGTAGTGTGTGTGTGTGTGTGTGTGTGTGTGTGTGTGTGTGTGTGTGTGTGTGTGTGTGTGTGTGTGTGTGTGTGTGTACTCACCTATTTGTACTCACCTATTTGTGCTTGCGGGGGTTGAGCTTTGGCTCTTTGGTCCCGCCTCTCAACTGTCAATCAACTGGTGTACAGATTCCTGAGCCTACTAGGCTCTATCATATCTAAATTTAAAAGTGTGTATGGAGTCAGCCTCCACCACATCACTGCCTAATGCATTCCATCCGTTAACTACTCTGACACTGAAAAAGTTCCTTCTAACGTCTCTGTGGCTCATGTGGGTACTCAGTTTCCACCTGTGTCTCCTTGTTCGCGTCCCACCAGTGTTGAATAGTTTATCCTTGTTTACCCGTCGATTCCTCTGAGGATTTTGTAGGTTGTGATCATGTCTCCCCTTACTCTTCTGTCTTCCAGTGTCGTAAGGTGCATTTCCCGCAGCCTTTCCTCGTAACTCATGCCTCTTAGTTCTGGGACTAGTCTAGTGGCATACCTTTGGACTTTTTCCAGCTTCGTCTTGTGCTTGACAAGGTACGGGCTCCATGCCTCCAGGATTGGTCTTACATATGTGGTGTACAAGGTTCCGAATGATTCCTTACACAGGTTCCTGAACGCTGTTCTGATGTTAGCCAGCCTCGCATATGCCGCAGACGTTATTCTTTTTATGTGGGCTTCAGGAGACAGGTTTGGTGTGATATCAACTCCTAGATCTTTCTCTCTGTTCGTTTCATTAAGTACTTCATCTCCTATTCTGTATCCTGTGTTTGGCCTCCTATTTCCACCACCTAGTTTCATTACTTTGCATTTACTCGGGTTGAACTTCAACAGCCATTTGTTGGACCATTCACTCAGTCTGTCTAGGTCATCTTGTAGCCTCCTACTATCGTCCTCAGTTTCAATCCTCCTCATAATTTTTGCATCATCGGCAAACATTGAGAGAAACGATTCTATACCCTCTGGGAGTTAATTTACATATATCAGAAACAGTATAGGTCCAAGGACTGACCCCTGCGGTACTCCACTCCACTGTGTGTGTGTGTGTGTGTGTGTGTGTGTGTGTGTGTGTGTGTGTGTGTGTGTGTGTGTGTGTGTGTGTGTGTGTGTGTGTGTGTGCGTATGTGTGTGTGTGTGTGTGTGTGTGTGTGTGTGTGTGTGTGTGTGTGTGTGTGTGTGTGTGTGTGTGTGTGTGTGAGTGTGTGTGTGTGTGTCTTTGTGTGTGTGTCTTTGTGTGTGTGTCTTTGTGTGTGTGTATGTGTGTGTGTGTGTGTGTGTGTGTGCGTGTGTGTGTGTCTTTGTGTGTGTGTGTGTGTACTCACTTAGTTGTATTTACCTAGTTGTGCTTGCGGGGGTTGAGCTCTGGCTCTTTGGTCCCGCCTCTCATCTGTCAATCAACAGGTGTACAGGTTCCTGAGCCTATTGGGCTCTATCATATCTACACTTGAAGCTGTATATGGAGTCAGCCTCCACCACATCACTCTCTAGTGCATTCCATTTGTCTACTATTCTGACACTGAAAAAAATCTTTCTACCGTCTACATACCTCATTTGGGCACTCAATTTCCACCTGTGTCCCCTAGTGCGTGTGCCCCTTGTGTTAAATATTGTGTCTTTATCTATCCTATCAATTCCTCTGAGAATCTTGTATGTGGTGATCATGTCCCCTCTAACTCTTCTCTCTCCCAGTGACGTCAGGTTTAATTTATTTATTTATTTATTTATTTATTTATTTATTTATTTATTTATATACAAGAAGGTACATTGGGTTTGTGAGGATACATAGCATAGTATTTACAATCTTGTAAAGCCACTAGTAAGCGCAGCGTTTCGGGCAGGTCCTTAATCTAACAGATAATTTTAAGTAGGTAAATTCTATCAAAATTAATAAAATGATAACAGATACATTGCAAGAAAAAATGAGATGAGAGAGATTAGTAAGTATATTAAAGCACATTGTTATATTAAAGCTCTGATTGATTACATTGACAACTTGATTGGTAATTTAAACAAGATTAATAGACACCATACAGCAGATTGACAGCACATATAAGAAGACAGCAATGATCACAATGGTAAAGATGTTCGGATTGGGAACATAAAGATTGGGAGATTGGGTAGCAATAGATACAGTGCAATTTTAAAGCAACAAGGTAAAAAAAACTATGCAGATGAGATTAGGTACTTTTTAGTTTTGTTTTTGAATGACGCAAAAGTTGGACAGCTTTTCAATTCATTAGGGAGTGAGTTCCATAGACTGGGTCCCTTATTTGCATAGAATGTTTACACAGATTAAGTTTGACTCTGGGGATATCAAAGATATATTTATTTCTGGTGTGGTGATAATGTGTCCTATTACATCTGTCCAGGGAGAGTTTCAGAGAAGGATTTGCGTTTAAGAACAGGGTTTTGTAAATGTAGTTGACACAAGAGAATTTGTGGAGTGAGCTTATGTTTAGCATGTTTAGGGAGTTAAACAAGGGGGCTGAGTGTTGTCTGAAAGCAGAATTTGTTATTATTCTGATAGCAGATTTTTGCTGTGTGATGATGGACTTGAGGTGGTTTGCAGTGGTTGAACCCCATGCACAGATACCATGGGTTCAACCACTGCATAACTCCCGTAGTCTCTCCTCGTAGCTCATACCCCTCAGTTCGGGTATTAGTCTGGTAAAAATTGGCAAAAATTCGAACCTTTTCCAGTTTAGTCTTATGCTTGACTAGATATGGACTCCATGCTGGAGCCGCATACTCCAAGATTGGTCTGACATATGTGGTATACAGAGTTCTGAATGATTCCTTACACAAAATTCTAACGGCAGTTTCCTATGTTGGCCAATTTCGCATATGCCGCTAATAATATCCTTTTGATGTGGGCCTCTGGGGACAGGTTCGGTGTGATATCAACCTCCAGATCTTTCTCTCTATTCGACTCGGCAGGATTTCACCTCCCAGATGGTACATTGTGTTCAGCCTTCTGCTCCCTTCGCCTAATTTCATTACTTTACACTTTGCTGAATGTGTAATGTGAGTGTGTGTATTCACCTAGTATTCACCTAGTTGTGTTTGCGGGAGTTGAGCTTTGCTCTTTCAGCCCGCCTCTCAACTGTCAATCAACTGTTTGCTAACTACTTTTTTCTTCCCCCCCCCCCCAGGAAGCAGCCCGTAACAGCTGACTAACTCCCAGGTACCTATTTACTGCTAGGTAACAGGGGCATTCAGGGTGAAAGAAACTTTGCCCATTTGTTTCTGCCTCGTGCGAGAATCGAACCCGCGCCACAGAATTACGAGTCCTGCGCGCTATCCACCAGGCTACGAGGCCCCACAACCTGTGTGTGTGTGTGTGTGTGTGTGTGTGTGTGTGTGTGTGTGTGTGTGTGTGTGTGTGTGTGTGTGATGGTGTGATGGAGGCCCCGTTGCACACACTAGCCCCAATAAGCCAGCCTGTGGTCGTGAAACGAAGGGTACTGATAGTAACTATTTGATAGAAGGCGCCAATATGTACAGTTTGTAATATAATTTTCCTTGGAGACCGGAAAGATAAAGCTAAACCCCAGACTTAAACACTCCTAAGCCTAGTATAGCACATATATATATATATATATATATATACTATATTTGGCCTACACTATCGTGTATTAGGTCTAGGCTTGCTAGGAGAGGTCAAGTTAGGTTCAATATTTATATTTAAAAAACAGTTTCCCATTTGGCGAAATTCCACAATAACAAAACGAAGACTTGTTGGTGGTCCTTCACTACATACTGGTACTCTGGACCAGACAGTACTGCAAGTACTACCATCTTAGAAGGATGACTGGTAATAAACACATTTGTTTCCCAAACAGCGAGCGACCACAACACCTCAGTAAAGGCCACAACATAAACTTGTACAAGGAAAAATGAAGGCCTGAGTGGGTAGATCTGGGAGCGTTGGGCCTGACACGTGAAACTTAAGAGTTAAATTCTCAAGGTATGATTTGAATCGTGGTCAAGAAGCCTCAAGTCGCTAAAGCTTCTGTGTCGCCCTTATAGAGCCCTTAAGGGCGGTTCCATAGGAACCCCAGTCCATAGGAAGGGTGGTTCCTTCCTATGGACTGGGGCAGGGGTCTCCTATAAGACTTGGGGACGCCTATAAGACTTGGGGATGCCTATAAGACTGGGTAGGAGACTTAATGCGGTACCAAACCTCTAGAACATGAGTAACACACAAACACACACACATCTTACTCTTCTTCACAACAAACTGATATCTAATTACAGTGAGAGATGTTATGTATTACAACACAATTATTACTATTACAGGGCAAATCAACAATTTGAAATATATATTAAAACAAGAAAATGTTTTATAAAAACATTAATAATATTATAATAAACATTAATAATATTTGAAATTTAAAGAGATCCACACACACACACACACACACACACACACACACACACACACACACACACACACACACACACACACACACAAGTCTGTACAGGGTATGATGGACTATGTTACCCAAAAGTGTGAGGAGGCAGTAAACAGGTTCATCCCGGCCCAAAGGGAAAAATCCGAGAAGCAACAGAAGAATCCATGGTATAATAGGGCATGTATGGAAGCGAAGAAACTGAACAAAAGGGCGTGGAGGAACTTCCGGAATAACAGAACACCAGAAAGCAGAGAGAGATACCAGAGAACCAGGAATGAGTACGTCAGGGTGAGAAGAGAAGCAGAGAAAAGCTTTGAAAATGATATAGCAAACAAAGCCAAGACCGAACCAAAGCTACTCCACAGTCACATCAGAAGGAAAACAACAGTGAAAGA